CTCAACGTTATCTAACAATTCCGTCTATTGAACGGAAAGCAACGCATTCAGCTACAGATGAAACTCTGTCAAATATTCCCAAAAGTACTTTATATTTCTTGCTTACGTATGATGAATGGAAAAACAATTTTTGATCATAAACAATATAAATTAAAAGATAATTGGACAAATATATTCAACCAGAAACTGATCGAAGCAGAATTAACCTGCACCATAAAATTTCAATATCACCATGTTAAACAAAAACGATCTCGCAAGAGAAAGTCAACATTTTTTTCGTGCATGGCTCATTGTACAAATTGTGCAGCATCGTGTTATGTATCAAATCAAAAGATGAACCCAAAAGAACATGCTAGCGTTATTTTCAGTAGAAATACTTGGTGAAGAGCATCACAATGCGGAAGAAGTAGTAGCTGGTCGACAACTAACCAGTGATGTTAGATCAGAAATGGGTGAATAATCCATTAGTATTTTTTAGACTTCATCTACTGCTTCATACTGCTTAGTGCAGAAAATTTTACGTATGTGCCAACACTCAGTGTAATAGAAAGTGCTGCCCAAGAACATAGACGGAAGTTCAGATATGATGAAGATATATTTAAAGAAGTTTGCATTTTAAGAGAGGCATTCTTAGCTTCAGACACATCATCCAGACACGTAACTGAAAAGTACGCATCAGTCTAAGCTGTTTTATTCTGAGAAGCAATGTAGTATACGGCGCTGACCAAAACGGGTGTATATCCTGAAGTATCCAAGTCAGCATTACATCTCAGTCCAAATAACTTCAGAGGTAGTCGTGTCTAAAGTAGTTATTACTTCCTAGAAGAGAAGGCAAACATATGCATGAAAATCTCACATATATTGAATCAAATAATAATTTTTGTAATTACTAGGCTATATACAAACAAGTGCGGAGTACCCGTTCACACTGCCTTTTTTGATGGAAATATAATTGCAATGTTATATCACGTACATTAACTCAGCTCGCTATCCTGATCTACACATAGACGCAACCGGAAGTGTAGTTAAAAAGTTATCAAATCAACCACGGCCCTATTTCTATTCCATGGTGTTCAAAGATGGAGAAGACCTATCGAATATCGTTCCATTAAGTGGTGCTATATTATGGGATATTGCTAAAAGACGCGAACACCCCTTTCGCTTTTTAAGTATACATTTTGAATGAACACCCACGAAGACAAAGAAGAAAGGGTAAGAACACCCAAAAAAGTGCGCCAAATTCATATCCAGATTATTCTGGGCTGAGGGCGAGATGTGGGTGAGCCTACCAGTACCTCACCCTCACCCCCACACCCTCAGCCCAGAATAACCTGAAGATGAATTTGGCGCACTTTTTTGGGTGTTCTTACCCTTTCTTCTTTGCGTTCATGGGTGTTCTTTGGGTGTTTGTAGGTGTTCGTGGATGGTCGTGGGTGTTTTTTGGGTGTTTGTAGGTGGTCGTGGGTGTTCTTTGGGTGTTTGTAGGTGTTCGTGGATGGTCGTGGGTGTTCATTCAAAATGTATGCTTAACAAGCAAAACTATAAAAACGTTTTTGGGTGTTCGTTAGGCGTTGCTATACTCAGCTCGATGAGCTCTGTCGATTGGTTAACTCAGATTTTAATTTGGGAGTGTTTGTGGCTGTTCGTGGGTGTTCGCGTCTTTTAGCAATACCCTGTATTATGTGACAATACAGTTACTGGGATCAGCTTTTATTTCTCCACGTTACGAAAATGTATAATTTTGTTAAAGAAAAAGTATTATCGACCGTCCTTTTTTGTTATTGATTTTTCGGCTGCAATATTAAGTTCCATATTAAGCGTATTTAATTATGAAGATATTCATCATCATCTCCGACGTTGTTTTAACATTATCCAACGAAAGTATACGTTCAAACAAATACAATCGAAGTCATTTGTAAGATTTTGCTGTACCCATGTAATGCATGCATTCGCACGTAGTTTATCAAAAACTGAAATTAAAAAAGAGCATCATCATGTAACTATCAAATTATTTGCTGTTTTATTAAATTGTTATGCAATTTTTAATGCATTGCGTTTATTTAAAACGATTTCATCAATATATAGTGACGCTTCACCACAAAGCTATTGAGCCCTTATTACCGGTAACGGATATTCTTGATTTCGATTTGAAAGAAGTTCTCAAAGACGATACAGATGATGATTTAGAGGAGCTCTCTCCGGTGAATGATCCATTAGAATCATCCGATCTAATAATTCATCAGTCACCGTTCAGCATAATTGCGAGAGAACAAATATCTTTCTTACAAAAAGCTTTTTCTGAACGTAGCAAACTATTAATACCGCCAACAAATCCTTATTATTAAAAACAGTGATCGATTTGTTTTGTAGATGGTGGACGTATTTACCTATGTGGACGTGTATTCTTGATCGAGCATTGATCGAGTTTCTTGTCCTATTTGTTGCAAGGTTCTTGTATCTTGACATTTCAGACAAGAATCCTGTTAGAGTGGACCGTCGTAGTTAGAACATGCTGGCTTTGGTCAGCTAAAGAGAGCGAAAAGTTGATTTATTATGTTTGAATAATATCGATGTCAGTAAACGCAGCTCCGCCATAATCTGGAGATGTTCAGTACAGGAAAAGGCTTGGAACAGAGCGAAGCGCTGCCAGTGTCGAATTAAACTTTCTAATATAGATTGTTGAACGTTTGTGGTAGAATCATAATTCTGTCAATACGTCGTTTTTTAACTACTTTATATAGGATATGTGCCGCCACACAGAAATCAGGTATCCGTACATTTAAAAAATTTAAAAAATTATCATCATCGTCGTCTTACAGAAGAATTAATGCAAGTTCATAAACTGGGAATAACATGTGATTTCTGGACAAATAGACGATCAACCTCATTTTTATGTATCACATGTCCTTGGTTAACCGATGATTTTAATTTTGTTTCAAAAGTTATTGATTTCTCATCATTTCATGATCGGACATACTAGTTTTTGAGTTATTTTAAGATGCCATTATTGTGCCATTATTCCAGCAAGTGATAAATAATCAAGAAAAGTAGTTCTTTTTCTATGTGCTATATGAATGAGGTTGATATAGATTAACCCTTTGACACCCAGTGGGAAGCATACTTCCCACCTCGAGAATTTTCAAATCTTCGAGTTTTTGCGAATCTTAGAGAAATATTTTCAGTAAATGTTAGAAGGTAGCAGAGGTCTGTACAAGATTGCACGGATAATAGGGTATATGGAGGACGTTGAAAAATGCACCATGCCAAGTTTCTTTAGTCTAAAAAAGTTTTAACCGCCGTTTTGAACTGCTGGGTCATTCTATCAAAAACGTTTTTTAAAGAACCCAAACAACTTTAAAAAAATCTACTATATGCCGTCTTGCAGAGAAATTTTTGTTCTACAAAACTGCTGATTTCAGAAAATTTCACATTTCGCTGTTGCGAAAATACAAACCATTTTTGGAAAAACACGAAAAAAACTGTTAAAAAACTGTTGCATGCCTACCAGTTATTTTTACGTGATTTAATGTATTTTCGAATGCTCTAAGTTTTGTCAGGAATACGTTTGGAATCTTTTTAACAAATGCATTTGGTAGAGCAAACATTTTTCTACAAAATGAGATGTTTCACAGCTCTGAGCGAATCGTGATAACTGATGTATACCAATTCTCCCGGATGTCCCAACACCAGTTTTTAACTGGTGCATACCTAGTGATCACGTGCTTTCTTTAATTGTAATTTAACCACATGCTTCCTAATGTCACCTAGTTAGTTTATACCAAGTTTCATCAAATTTGGTTCAGTAGAAAAAATTCGGGTGTCAAAGGGTTAAGGACAGTTGTGTTTATACATGTACACAGTTATTTTTCTCTACATGTATCTACATTTGATTATAATTATTTGATGATTTGTTTCTTTTGATTCTACATGATTTTTGTTATATACTTTTGTGTTGGTCATTCTCAATAAAGAGAAGAGGAAAAATGAACAATCTAGCGACGCAATATATAGTCAAAGGACGCAACCTCCAGAGAGCAGAGCAAATCGATACGCATAGATAAAACTTCTCAAAGTTACTCTGATCCCATGCGAAAAGACTCCAGGAAAAAATGGCAAGACTGCTAAAAATAGTTTCACAAAGTAAAGTAAGAAAAAAGTGATCATTGATGTGACAATGTTTTCCGTAACACATACTCTTAAAACAGCTATGATTGCTCTGTAAGCGATAACGGTACACAGAAAACAAAAAAGAAGTAGAAAAATGCGTATCCGATGGCACGAGTCACTAACTGCTTAAACGGTAACCCGTAGAAGAGTTTTATCGATAAGGACCAATAATCGGTGAGACGATAATCGTTACCGTTGCATGCCTAGTAGAGAGAGCCAATAGCATGTTTGTCCATGAGATTCATGAAAAATATTATCATAGTAATGTATAACTCCGTAGGAAAATAAAATGCACATCGTCCGTCTTGCCTGTTACGATTAGAACGGGTTGAACAGAATGCAAGGGTAATTAGTAATATTTATCACATTATTAGTAATTGTGTCTTCTAAAAAGGTTTCACCTATGCCTAGTATCATTGGCCGAAAGATAGCCATATACGAGCAAACTCTGTCTGTTTGCGTCATTAGACTATGGAAATTCAAAGAATCTCTTTTAAGACCGTTTCGTCCTGCGAAAATATTTTAATAATTTCGTAATAATAATAAACTAGTGAAAAAAGAAACCAACTCAGCTTAGATTTTTTCTAATTCTGTTTGCCATTCGTGATGAAAACAAAAAGAATGAAAGAAGTAAGATAAGAAGGTAAACAGAACAAAAGAAAAAAGCCATTTGCCGTCATTTGATGCTCCTATTATCATGCTAACTATTTTTAAAAGAATTTTCAGTCAGTGCTCACCATTAGTATAACCGTTAAAAATACCGCTTCTTTTTTAGCGTGTATTTGAACGTTAATTCCAATTTTAAGTCAACTATTAATATTCATTATTATATTATGGCTCTCAGTAGACTGGAAGGTATAGCATTGCATGATGTTCATGGAAATATAATGGAAGATTTAGTTACATGCTCCATTTGTCATAATGTGTTCAAGGTGGTTCGAATATCACCAACCCAATCAGACGCACCTGTGGGAAAGATCGAGATACATTTTGTCTGTAATCGGGCGATACACGACTAGTTGTGATCTAGATTACTCGCTGGAAAAGGGATTTTTAACTAGATACGTCTGCATGTACAACTAGCAACAGTTAAATCGATCGATTATCGGGCAATAAGTCGATAGTTGCACCTGAGAAGAATTTCAGCAATTGTCCGATTACTGGACTTTCACTGTCGTTATCAAATAATTGCAATCGACGAAAATCTAGTAAATAGTCTAGATAAATCAGACGAGAGTAGATATTTTCTTTTAATGCTTTGGAAAAATACTTTAAAGGAAGGTTACTCACTGATTACACTACTAGACAAAATGTTGATTTGAGGGACTGACATGGTAGACAAAATTCGATTATTCAATAAGTGAATGGATTCTTATGGAAACCAGTGGCATGTAAATCTTGTGAAAAACCATTTTGTTCATTATGTATTCAACTATGGCTTAATGCAAAATCAAATAATAGTTGTCCATTTGGTTGCCCAAAATTTCAACAACGAAAATGTCCACCATCGATTGCAGTCATCCTATCAAAATTAACCGTTGATTGTTATTATAAACAAAATGGTTGCTCAGCTGTTATACCTTATGATACATTAGGAAAACATGAAGAACAATGTGAGTACGAACAACAACAATGTTCAGGATGTAAAGAAAAGATAGTGAAAAAGAATTTTGATCAACATCTAGAAGAATGTGAAAAGTTAGAACTTGAATGTGAACAATGTTCAGTACAATACAAACGACAAGAATTTCAAGAGCATACAGATGTTGAATGTTTACGTAATGAATTTAATCGTAAAATAGAAGGTACAAATAACTATGGTATCAGAGCAAGGAGGCGTACTTGTGAGTACTTGTTGTGAAAGCAATAGCTCTCAAATTTCTTGGGCAAAGTATGCACCCAGAGGGCTCATTTAACGCAATCTTTTATGCTCTATAAAGTGACACCTAAGAAATTTCTGTTTAACGCTTTAATATCCACATAAACTCAAAATAGTATTAAAAGTACTTGTACTTGATAACTGGGTACAAGATATTTTAAAGTTTTTTGAGAAGTAGAAAATTTGCATTAGAACTTCTTGTCACCTTTTTTTATAGAGCACAAAAGATTATGCTGAATGAGCCCTATGGGTGTATATTTTGCCCAAGAAATTAGATGGCTATCGCTTTCACAACATCAAGTACTCACAGGTACTCCTCTTGCTGCACATGGTATTGAACAGAGCCGTCGACAATCGATGCGATTGAACTAAATGTCAGTCGTTTTTTGAGACAATATTACTTTTATCATTTGTGTATGCTTTGATATGATACAATGTTTTCTACAAAACAACGCTCCAACGAGAGTCCCGAAATAACTGAGATCAGTTTCAAAATTCTCGGATATGCTAAAATAGCTGTGTTTTTAAACGCTTATTCTTTCGCGTTTTGTCGTTACAGAAAATCAAATGTTATTGAACTTATTGCAAAAAGAAAATCATCGATTAAAAATTCAACAGAAGAAAATGAATGAAAAATTTCAAGATTTCGAAGACGAAATTGAAAAACTGAAAGAATGTGAGTATGATAAAATGCCATCTGGCTCTGCTTATTTGTCTTCTTTCATTTTGAGTAACAATTTAAATTTCAGCAATGATAAGTATCGATACAGAGGAACTTGAAAAACAACCAGAAAATATCGTTCCACTGGGCTGGAACTCGATCACACAACCACAAGTTTTTGATTATTTTCAAGAGAGACCATTTCAAGACGTACAAATAGGGAGAGGAAGAGGAAGAGGAAGAGGAAGAGGTAGAGGTAGAGACAATGTTTATTTAGAGACATCAACCGATCACATGAGAGGACGAGGTAGACGTCGCGATTATGATCCAAGAAGATCAATTGATCAATCTCAACTCTCTGATACAGAGGAAGGTACAAACAACTCAAGACGTAGAAGGAGAGGAAGATCGAATTACTATGTACAAGATAGATTTCTATATTAACTTCATTACAATTAAAAAAAAGCAATTGTATGAGTTCAACGACCACTGTTTTTAATTTTGTTTTTTTAATTTTAGTTCTTACTTCAATCATATTAATCGTAAAAGTCTTTTGCTTTTCTTTTGTAACCTGCAGAAGGGTTTTTCACAAAATTAAACTAAATTCATATAATACTATCCTTCGAATATATCGATGTATGGTATATTGATTAATAGCTCCACATTTTTTATTAAAAACATAATAATAATATTTTTATTTTAAACACATATACGTTTAGCTCCTATCAGATTCGAATGAAAATTATATCTGTTGTTTTCCTGAAATTATTATTAATTTTTTTTTGAAGGAGAATATTTTTATGTACTTCTCTTATTATATAAAAAGATGGTCATGAGCAACGAGTCTTCTCAGATCTAAGGAGCTTTGTGTGATATATCTACTTAGTTTGAAAGATTAAGAGGTTTCGACAACAAGTACAGAACCTAAATATTTTAGAGGCACTTCCCTTTTTCCTGACTTTCTCAACAAAGATTTGTCATAGTACTGTGATTTCGGAAACTTAAGTAAATTTTAGTTGGTTATGAAAAGTTTTGTTGGAAGTATCCTCGAATTCCTTTAGTTCAGATTTTCTAGAAACCACCACCTCAGCGAGAAATGATTTTCCGTCGGGATAATGCTTTGACCGAAATAACACAATCTGTAAAATAGAAATTTTTATTGTTAAGAAACTGGATGCGCGAACAACAGGTTAACAGCTATTCGAAAGTTTGTGCCGTTTATCCTGATAAAAAAAACTTGTACTTTTTAATCAGTTTCAGATGGTACCCATCCATTTGAGAAAGACCGCCAAGCCCTATCGTGTTCAATTAATCAACGATTATTACGTTAGATGGATAATAGATTACGATTGTTAGACGTTTTTTGGGAGTTTCATTTTTGAACTCCTAGTGATTAGAAAGATAACTGTTTTTATAGATAGTGCATAGTGGGCATTATAAAGTTTGAATTACATTTAAACTCATTCAATACACAGTAGATAGGGACGTTATGACTGATCAGTTATATGAGAGACCATCACCTGGTAAAAATTTCAAGTCTCTACGACTTTCCTGTTTAACACGTTGCAATATTCAGAAAAGAGGGAGAGGGTAACCTTAAATAATCTGACTTTACCATCGTCTTTGTAATATTGAAGACAGGTGCCGAACAGACAGATTTTTTTGTAGAGTCTAGCAAATGAATTTCAAGACGCAGCTTCCCACTTCAGGACTCTTTGAAATGCTTTACATAGTAGTGTTCCAAATGGTAGAGAATCAGTCTTTGGTGCGTCAAGAATTCTTTTCAGTTTGTCGATTTTTTCAAAAGGGTTAGTCGACGCCATTATCACATCGAAAGCCTGTACTGGTGACGATATACACAGTCCTTGGTGCAGATTTACGTGGTGACTCGAATATTGAAAATAGCACGTCACTGATTTATGCAGAAAAAGTTAGAACAAAATACGCTTCTGCCGGATAACAGGATTTTTGCTCATATTCAAGCTGGAACGATTTTCCATCCTTAGCCCAGAATTTAACGCGGGTTTCATAAAGAATGTCGCGGTAATTGCATGCTAACTATCTCCTTGCTTTTCGTGCTAATTGATACCGTCCTGAAACTTTTTCCCGACGAATATTCATTGTTGAATTCTGAATAAAACCATAGATAAACGACTTTTCTAGATTAAAATATGAGATAGATATAACCAAATTCAAAGAAGTGAACAAATCCCCAACTGTCAGTGACAAAAGCCGTTTTTCTGCTGTTAGTGGAAAGAAGCTTTATTGCATTACTTCATTCATTTGAAGTCAATTCTCAGAGTCTGACAGGCTCAAAAATCAGGATTTCTATCACTCAGTATCGTGTGCATGTATGTTCCTACGCGACGGTCTGCATAATATAGCCAATGGACCGTCTTTTAGCGCCTTGCTCACTTTTTAATTGTTCAACGAGTTTGCTAACAATTTTGGATAGCTTATTAAGTTTATACTGGAAGGTTTTGCAATCAAAATAGCGTTGCAATGGCCTCTCTCTCGCTTCTACCGATGGCAGTTATCCTTTGAGAGTTTTTATGACGATAATAATAGCAGTATACGCATGATCACTATAACTCTACATATGCTCCGAAATACTAATAATTTGCATTTAGAACTCGAGTATAGATATGTGGTTGTTTAAAAAGTTACTTTTTCGCGAACAGAAGAATCAGATACAGCATGTGATCTATGAGTTACTAATCATTATTGTTTTCTCTTTCCGAGGAAAAGAGACATTATTTTCACGTGTCGAACAGGTAGAAGATGTAAAACTGATCATCCGTGTACGGAGAGTAGAGAGCAGTAGTTAACACAAATATACAATAAATTACCTGTGGTAACACAGTTATTACAGTCAGGCAAAAACGGTAATAGCTAAACAATTTCCACCATCACATCAACACAATAACTCAACATAAATTGCCATGGCTAATTTCGATAACGTGGGTGGTGGCTTTGCGATTGTTATCATTTCTATAGCATTATTTATTTCTGGCAATAATGAACTTAGCAAAGCGCGTACTTATGTGAAGAATTATTGTAAAGTTACAAGTACTGGTGTAGAAGAGAAAAGCTGTGGAAAGAATTACTGTTATACACCGAAATGGTACGTCTTGTATGATAAACCAGATGTTGATGATAAACCGATTGAGGCCTTAATTCTTGGAGAATCGGAAAAATTATATCTTGTTGCAACTGAACAGAAAGAAGCATACGAGGTACGGGCAGACCCCCCCCCCCTCTGTTCTTGTTACCGAGGAACTCATCATTTGACTTCGAAGACAAGACTTTAAACGTTGCACAATATGCTGATTTCGATCTGAGGTCACCATTTGCTCACGGTGAGTTTTTCAAGGATTTTTCAGCAATCCGATCGCTTGAAACTCCAACTTTCCCTTCCCTCGAACAAGTTTCAGTCTGTTGACGATGAAAAGTTGTATATTTCTTAAAAACCTCGTCTATCGCAATTAAAAATTGAGGCTAGAACTTCGCTCGCCTCAATTAGCACCAAATTTGGGGATAAATAAGATGAAATTTTCATAACACGCACTATTTGAAATCAGCACGACCAGTAACAATGAAAAAACTGTCTTCGAAGGCGAAAGTGCGGTTCATTCGTCAGTTCATGACTCTTCGAATTGTGTCCTTCTCTTATTTAGCCTGATCATACATATGACTGCTATCACAGCCCAGTTAATAACAGAGTACAATGGAACCGTCCCAGCAAATCATGGGCCACATTTCGCATAGTAACCGGCTCCACTATATTTTTCATAGTGTGCTTCTATTTCAAGCTCTGAATTTCTCGTCGACAAACTAGCAAACGATCAAGTAGAGAAGCAGACGGACAGGAGTCAAAGAACATGAAAAACCCAGAGGTGCTTGAACCGCTTCCTCCGCTGGCGGTTAATGCGGAACACTGGACTGTGGCAAAAAACGCGCAAAACTGATTCACGTTGGCTGACATACAGATGCTCCAGAAAATGCGATGCTAACATTTTGTTTACCTATGTGTAACTGCACTCCGAGGTGATTTTTTCCAGTACTACTTTCGGTTTGCGAAAATATGTCATAAAGTCCTTGTATTGTGAAAAGCTTTGCACAAGAAATCATGCGTCACTGTAAAAATGATCGGACCCGTTCTGAGACGGAAGTTGGATGCATTAATGACGGAAAGTTTAATTTACCATAACGTTGTTTTTCATTTGAGACTAGCGTAAAGTATGGCTGAGCTTTGCATCAGAGGCCTCTGGCTAGTGAATCCTACTTTCGGCTCGAAAATATTTTTCGTGCAACTTTATCCGTGCAAAAGATTAGAGATCTGTGATTTTCACCACAGGAATGATCTCGAAGTGAATCGTTCGCGAAATATCTGTGTTGTAACTCAAAGACGGTGGTTTCTAATGAATGTTAGACAGGTTTTTCTTCCGAAAACAATATTGCAAAAAAAATGAAATTACATATGAGGTCGAAGCAATCTAGATTATCTTAAGCGGCAATTAGCGCTTTAACTGGTTCAGAAAACACTCCGCTAATCGACTTGGCTTAATCTTGAAGATAAAAGGGTTTCACAAAAGGCTCACTAGGGAACCTTCCGAGGTTATTAAACGTTTTTTGCTCGGTATCTAGTGGATTATTGGTTATCGACCATGTTAATTCCAAATATGACCACGGGGATTGCCTTCAGCTCTTCGAAGAAGAGGGGTTTCTGGAAAACCAGTTTTCAGAACTCTGAAGTAAAACAAAAACCTCGCTTAATGATGCATGACTGTAGCCCGCAAATTTCAGATTAAAATGAGACATCTCCCAGCTCTGCACGACCTTCCTTTCCAAAGTTATACAATTCACAAGTAAGCTCTAGCATGATCACAACGTAGTGAGCATGCTATCGGACGGGTGATTCGAGACAATAGCCGTTAGCAACTTGTTCAGGGTTATTCTATGAGTGGGTGGCGCCGAGGTTCGAATACGGTACCTTTGAAGTACGTACCAAATAACATAACCACTCAGCCATTACACACATTAGAAGACCCAGGGCCTTCTGTTCTATTATATCGTTCACAAAGGACGGGGGCGGCTATTTGATGGAATCAGCGCTATATTTCTGTACATATACGGAAATCGCCGCTCTGAGGCCAAGTATGTTTAGAAATACTTCCGTCTATGGAAAATAATCTCCTATGTGCAAACAGTCTAAGATAATCTATGACACCCTTTATCATCTAGCTACTACGATAGATATATCAATCGATAGAGAATTTCTCGCGCAACAAGTTTATATATATATATGATAGTGAAAAAAGTTTCTTAGGACCCCTTGACAGTAGAAATACTATCTAGAAAGCCCTGAAAAGCGGGTGACTTATTCCACGATGAGTATTCTACGATGAATGTTTCTCAACTAGCCACTACGATATATATACCAATCGATAGAGAATTCCTTGTGCTACAAGTTCATATATATATAATAGTGACAAAAGTGTCGTAGGTCACCCTGACATTAGAAATACTTTCTGTAAAGCCGTGAAAAGCGGCTAACTTATTTCAGGTGAAGATCCTAACGCTTCCCATCTAGCCAGTACGATAGATATACCATTCAATAGTGAATTTCACAAGCTTCAAAATGAGCTATAAATAAATCTTTCAGAAGTATGTCCACATGGGTCAACAGTTGAAACACTTGGTCGATATAATGATTTTGACGTATCCTAGTGCTTTCAATACTCCGTTAGTCGTTTTCCTGCCATAATGAAAATTATGTATTGTTCGAAAACATACCACTAGATAGCCCTTGAAATTTTCTATAAAGTGAGCTAGTCACAATATCCAGACAGGTCGGGCCAGCCATTAAAGATATGGAAAAGAAGCTTTTGGGTGTTATCTAAGCAGTACAGTGTGTCATAATCACAAGAACTCTCTTGTTTTTGAGCTTTTAGTAAAAGCTGGAACCAATCTGAATAATGTTTCGAATAGCCCGAAGATTTTTCTATCAGATTAGGTGCATATCGGCCTTTCATAAGAAAAGTTGATAATAGAGCTTCTGGAAAACCTGACCGCTGAAAAGCCAAGTCTTTAGTTTTTAGTGAGAAAATTTTGCAAACCACATAGCCTGACAGAGTGAAAAATTCTGAACAAAATAAGACTTCTCCGGACATTCTGTAGTACTTTTCACCGGAATATTTTGGTACCTTTCACGCCCCTTGTGGCTAGTGGTAAGTCGACTGCAGTTGCGTGAAAAAGAAGACTTATTTTGCTCAGAATTTAGGCTATATGGTTTGCAAAATTTTCTCACTAAAAACTAAAGACTTGGCTT